GAGAGGAATGGTCTCCCTGGCTGTTGTTGAAAGAAAGGAGATTGTCGGACTGTAGTCCGACACGGGCCTTGCCTACAGGCGGCCTGTTTGTGGTTCCGATGCTGAGCCCCAGGAGCAGCCAGACCGATTGGGATTGAGTAGGTCCCACCTGCAGACGAAGGACATTGCAGGTTGCAAGAGTGAGCGACCCCGATCGCGGACGCTTACCACCAACCCCCACTCTTGGACGTGGCAGTTTCGAGTGGCGCGCCCCCGAACTGGGGTCCGCACTTGCTGAAAGAGATACTTCTAAGCTATCTGGGTGTGGGTATCGTGATGACCCGGAGTAGGTGGTGAATGTGGTCTGTTGGGCCTTTCGGGTTAGAGGGCTGCTAGTGTTGTGTGTTTTGGGAGATTTGAGTTCTGTTTCGGAGGCTTTGTGTGACCTCGCAGTCGAGGAGATAGTGTTCAAGTGGGTTGGCTGCTGGCTCCTGACAGTAGGTGCATTCCAATTTGCAAATGAACAGGCTTTATGTGAAATATAACATAGTCTAGGATTGCTTTTAGTGTCTTTGTGGCATGGTGGGTAGCTTTCCCTGGTCACATGCATAAGGTCTAGGGTTCGAGTCCTGGCTGGTGAGGTCGTTGATTATATAAAAAAAAAAAAATATATATATATATATATATATATATATATATATATATATATATATATATAAGGTCGTTCAAATATCTAGACCAGTGGTTCTCAACCTTTATCATTCCATTCCCCCCTTGAGGAATTTTCAACATCCATGTGGCCTCCTTCATTTTTCTCCCCCCCCCCAAAAAAAAAACTAATGTTGAAAAATAAAATGCAGATGAAGAGAATACCCTTATTTTATTTCAAGGTTGACAATCATCATTATCTTATATTTTGATAGACTTACATGATTTACATAACTGGCGTCACTAGACTAGAGTGACTACTAGACAAGCCTCACACCAAACTTGAATTTGGTTGGGAAAAAGTTCATATGACCTCTGCATATTTTGTCATAGCTCAATGGGAAGGCTGACATTGTTTCCTTTCAGTCAGGTGACTGATCCGAGGTTGTGTCACTGACAATGCACATCTCATGTCCGGGTCCACATTCAGTCGGTTCCGGCTTTTACTCTTTATATGTAGAAGGGTGGAGAAACCAGATTGGCATAAATAGGTAGTTGAAAAAGGCAAGAGGACTCGAAGTGCAATCTCGCTAACTTTTGGATATGACTGATACATTGAGCACCAGAATACAGTCACAGATCTTTCTTCATAGAGATCTTTGGCAGCAGAATCATTCTTGAGATCAAGAAATTCGTCCTGAACATCATTAGGAATGGTGGCAATATCAAGAGTGCCAGAGAAAGGATTCCTCACCAATTTCCCATCTTCCTCCTCTAATTCTGGGAAATTCTTTTTGAGCTCACTTTCCAAGGATTTCAGGTGCTGAGTGACTTCAGTTTTGAGAATGTCAGAACAGACAAACAGACAAGTGATAAAGACTAAAGAATGATAAAGAAGGACAGATACATAGGACAAGAGTTAGAATGGCATACACACACACACACACACACACACACATTCACATACATAACACGCCCATGTACTCACACATGAAGCACACATACAGTCATACACAAACATGCACACAGGTAAACATTCACACCCAAGCTAGCAAGCTGAAGTGTACTTCCTGTAAGCAAGAACACGCCTCCTTTGACAAGCACTGCCCAACTTGGAAGAATGAGAAGAATAGTGAGTCATGCCAATTTAGCAATAAAAATGGTAGGATTATATAAGTAAAGAATGAGTATGAACAACAATGGCACCAATAAATAAGGAAATAATTAATAAAGGAAGTGTACAATATTTCACCCACGTAAAGCAGCGACCACATGAATTATGAAACAAAATAAGTAACACCAATTACGGAGTATATTATGCTTGAGTCAAGCTCAAACACAATATATGGTTCAGAGACAATACACTCCACTGTTTTCGTGATGGTATCCCAGGCCAGACTGAGATCATTCGGTCCTATCACCACTTGCAAAGGGATGACACACGGACACTTACTGAACAAGTCAGTTCAGCAGCTTGGTCCATCGCCTGTCACACAGACAGGGACTGGACCTGTGAAATCTTAAATAATCCGTAAAAAAAAAAATTAGCACCAGAGTAGGTAAATATTAAAATTGTATTGTCGTTATGATTAAACAAAATGACAAAAAAAATGAAAATTCTCTTCTGCCAAGTCAAAATAAGTAATACAAGTTTTGTTTAATTCATATTCCCAACATTATTTGGAAACTTACAATTTACAACAGCTCGCCGTGTTTCCCCTAAATTCTTGCCGTGGATCCCTTGGGGGCCATGGACCCCAGGTTGAGAACCACTGATCTAGACGGTCCGTCCCTCGTAACGATCTTCAAGAGTGAAGTGCTTCCCCATCTGGAGTACTGTCACCCTGTCTGGTCCCAGTGATATGCTAGGGACTGTCAGTTGGTTGAAAATGTTCAAAGGAGGGCGACCAGACTGGTGCCTGCCCTTCGGCACCTCAGCTACCCTGAGAGATTGGAGCGACTGAACTTGCCTAGCTTATACTACAGACGGGAAAGGGGTGACCTAATTGAGGTGTATAAGCATCTCAGGGGGCACTACTCAGTCGAGTGTCCTTACTTGGAACTGGCGAACGCTCGCCCCACAAGGGGTCACAGCTCAAGATTGAAGAAGCCCCAAGTCCAGAAAACTGTGAGGGCAAACTTTTTCGGAGTGAGAGTTGTGAACTCTTGGAACAATCTACCAGAAAGTGTTGTGACGGCACCGAGTGTGAGCTCTTTCAAGACAAGACTTGACCAACACTGGAGCGGGTTCAGGTACATTCAGGAGCTGGTACATGCCCAGTACTTGCCAACAGTGCGTAACAGAGACGTGACCGATCGCCCAAGCAGCTAACGAGCCGATCAGTGTTGAAGACTATATATATATATATATATATATATATATATATATATATATATACTTCATTAGCCCAATAAAGCACGCGAACTTCTACATACAATCAACCCGCCAGTTCGAACCCACGGCCCACGAGCCTATGACTGTGACCAGGGAACGCTAACCATTGGATCACCAGGATACTAAAGCAATTCTAGACTTTGTTATATTTCACAAGCCTGTTCAACGAGCTTATGGCGCCGTGAACTTCTAATGGGGACTACTCGTATCACGTAGGTGGTCAGAGTAACGTTTAATGGGCTAATGAAATATATATGGATCCTCGTGTTTCGAAGTCGGATTTGGTAAAACGTTACTCTGACCACCTACGTGATATATATATATATATATATATATATATATATATATATATATATATATATATATATATATATATATATATATATATATATATATATATATATATATATATATATATATATATGTAAGGAAGAGGAGAACCAGGGTAAACACAAACATCTTGAAGTAGGGCTTCTTTTAATAGCTAACGTATCGGAAATAATCCTTTTCCATCATCAGAGCCTAAAAAGTTTTGAAAAAGTTAAAAAATACAGGCGAGTACAGAGAAGTGTAGCTAACATTATAACATTACCACCAACATAACTGTCATTTTTCTATAACTACATGATTTAATGTGGATTAACGTGAATTACTTGAGCAAAAGTCGAACTTAATCACGTTATTCTTATGGTAAGTAGTTTCTTTTGATCATTGTAAATTTTTTATTGTATTAAGTCTCATGTTAAAAATTATTTTTAATTTTGAAATTATTATATTTATCTTAGTATTTTGAATATTGTTAGTATTAGACACAATTAAGGTGGGTACATATTTATCGAGTCTGGTTCATCATGGACACCATCTGTTGGCCGCCATGTCTCCTCTTCGCTTCCCTTCACCACCATGCCAGGCTTTAGTGAGAAGGTCCGTTCGTTTTCCTCAGTTTTTGTTACCATTATATATTTTTTCTACATCTATTACTTTTGTAGCTATAGGTAAGGTTATATATTATTAATTACCGCGTCAAAGATGGAGAATTAAGGAAATATAGTGAGATATAATACAAATCAACATAATGTTGGTGTTGTGGTGGCCAGCGTGTTGACACTAAGGCACCTTAATATAGCTGCTGCCCTATTCAGTCATTTTGGTAATTATATTGGACTAACCCCGCGAGCGAAATTGATTGAAAACAACTGTAAAAACGCTGGATATTCATTGTTTTATTGTAGTGGACACTTGTAGTTTATGGAAATATGGGTAGATTTGTATAAGTGCACCCAACTCTGTTAGAACATAAGAAAATAAGGAGTCTGCAATAAGCCGGTTGGCCTGTGCATGGCAGCTCCTGTCGAGAGTTACTACCACTCTCTATCATCCATGAATCTATCTAGCCTCCTTTTGAAACTTTCCAGCGTTCCAGCACTTACTACAAAGTTGCTAAGCTTGTTCCACTCGTCCACCACCCTATATGTGAACCAGTTTCTTCCTATCTCCTCCTAAACCTAAACTTATCAACTTGAATCCGTTGCTCGAGTCCTATCCTGCCCGGATATTATAAGAACTTTATCTATATCCCTTTATTGATTCCTTTCACCCACTTAAATACTTCCATCATATTTCCCGCACTCTTCGTCTTTCTAGGAAATGCAAGTTTAGTTTCTTTAACCTATCTTGATATGGTAGGTTTCTTAAGTCCGGAATCATTTTCGTCATTCTTAGCTGCACCGACTCCAGTGAATTGATATCCATTCTATAATAAGGGCACCAGAACTGAACCACATAATCGAGGTGCGACCTCACTAGCGTAAGATATAGTTGCAATAAGACCTCCTACACTTATTACTTACACTTTTAGATATAAAACCTAACACTGTTTGCCTTATTTCGAACATTAATGCACTTTTTTCTAGGCCGTAGGTCCGGGCTTACAAGTACCCATAAGTCTCTCTTACAAGTCGACTTCTCTAGGTTGATGTTGTTAAGGCTGTATACATTGACAGCATTTGTTCTTCCAATATTAAGTATGCTACACTTGCTGATGTTGAATTTCATTTGCCATTTCTGACCACCCCTGCAGTTTATTTAAATCCTCTCTGTAGTGCATTTGCATCCTGCCTTGAATTAATCTGCCGCCCAATTTTGGTGTCATCCATAAACTTGCTTGTCACTGCTGATCCAGTATCTAGATCATTTATGTAGATTATGAACAAGAGTGGGCCTAGTACTGACCCTGGGAACCCGACTGGTTACACAGCCCCACTCAGATTTAACACCATCTACGCTGACCCTCTGCGTTCTATCGGTGAGTCATGATTTTATCAATTTAAAACTTCCTCTCACCGGCTCACCGATAGAAGCACAGGGTCAGCGGATGGTGTTAAATCTGAGTGAACTCAGTGGGGTTCCCGAAACTAGGCCCACTCTTGTTCAAATCCATAAATGATCTAGATACTGGATCAGCAGTGACAACAATTTTGCGGATGACACCAAAATAGGACGTACAGGCAGGATACAAATGCATTACAGGAGGATCTAAATAAACTGCAGGGATGATGAAAAATAGCAAATGAAATTCAACACCAGCAAGTGCAGCACTATATTGGAAAAAAATACTATAACGATACAGCCTTAACAACATCAACCTAGAAATCGAAACGGCCAGGGGTACAGCCACCTCGAACAAGCAATGTTCGAAATAAAAATATTGGTTTTATATCACAAATTAATAGTAACAAATGCAGAGGTCTTATTGCAACCATGAGGCGCACCGTTATCGATTCGGTGTTCTATAAGAATGGATATAATTCACTGCGGTGCAGCGAAATGACAAAATATCAGGGACTCCAATCAGGAGGTTAAAACTAACCACCCTAGAAAGAAAATATTAGAAGTATTTAAGTGGGCAATAATATAGATAAAGTTCTATAATATCGAGCAGGACGTAACGGATTCAAGCGAATAAGTTTAGGTTTAGGAGGAGAGGAAAACTGTTTCACAAATAAGGGTGGTGGACCGAAGGTGACAATGCTTAGCCGTAATGCTGGAACTCTGGAAAGACAAAAGAAGGCTAGATAGATTCATGGATGATAGAAGTGGTAGTAACTCTCGACAGAACTGCCATGCACAGCCAACCGCCTAAGAACTCCTTTTTCTAATGTTCTTTAACATTTCTCAGAAGCCTCTGATGCGGTACTCTGTCAAATGCTTTGCTAAAGTCTAAGCAAATAACATCGTAATTTTCGTCATTATCTACTACCTCGAGACTTTCCTAAAAAACGTCAGCAGATTTGTTAGACAAGATTTTCCGTTTGTGACCCATGAAGGAGAACCAGGATAACACAAACATCTTGACTAAGTTGGGTTTCTTTTAATCACTAAAGTTTAAGGAAAATCATTTTCCATTATCAGCCAATAAAACAAAATGTTTTTGAAAAAGTTTTAAAAATACAGGTGATATACTTGTACAGTGGTCCCTCAGTTAACGAACACAATTCGTTCCAGAAGGTTTCGTTAACCAAAAATTGTTAACCGAAACCATTGTTTCAATGGGTTTTAGTTAGTGGTTCCAACTCACCGAAATTACCTAAAGTAAAACAAAAAGGCATTAAGGTACACTTACTTTGAGGTGTGTATGTGAAGGCTCCTGGATGATGATGTGACTTTGAAGTGGGAGGTGGAGGAGGTGAAGGGAGAAGAGAAGTGGGGGTGGAGAGAAGCATTTTACTGCTTCTTGGAAGGTGAAGTCATGTTCCAAGAAAATGTCAGGAACCTCTGGACTGACAGATTCTCCAGCAGGAACATCCTCTCTCATTCCTGAAGTGGAAGGCTGAGGGTAGCATCTGTTTCCGATGCCTTTTAGTAAAACTCAATTTTGGTTGTGGGGCATTTCTCCTCCTCATCATTAACTGATGTTTGAAGGAACCACTCTGTCCTCAACATTATGCAAAATAGGTTCTGTTTGTTTCCACATCTGGGTGCCTTGAAGCCAGTTTCCTTCTCCCAGTAGTGAACAACATCTTTCAAGTCTGAAGTAAACATATGATCATCACTTTCCCTTTCCTCCTCACCACTGTCAGCCTCTAACATCTCATCCAGTCGCTGCAAGTCATCAGGAGTAAATTCCTGCTCCTGAGACATAAAACAAGAAAATAAGGAGTCTGCAATAGGCTGGTTGCCCTGTGCATGGCAGCTCCTGTCGAGTTACTACCACTCTCTCTCATCCATGAATCTATCTAGCCTCCTTTTGAAACTTTCCAGAGTTCCAGCACTTACTACAAGGTGCTAAGCTTGTTCCACTCGTCCACCACCCTATATGTGAACCAGTTTCTTCCTATCTCCCTCCTAAACCTAAACTTATCCAACTTAAATCCGTTGCTCCGAGTCCTATCCTGCTCCGGATATTATAAGAACTTTATCTATATACCCTTTATTGAATCCTTTCACCCACTTAAATACTTCTTTCATATCTCCCGCTCTTCATCTTTCTAGGGATGCAAGTTAAGTTTCTTTAACCAATCCTGATATGGAAGGTTTCTAAGTCCCGGAATCATTTTTGTCATTCTTCGCTGCACCGACTCTAGTGAATTTATATCCATTCTATAATAGGGCACCAGAACTGAACCGCATAATCGAGGTGCGGCCTGACTAGCATGAATAAAGTTGCAATAAGACCTCTGCACTCTTGTTACTTACACTTCTAGATATAAAGCTGTTCCACATGCACTTCCTCCACTTCAAGGCCCAATGACTAACCAATGGACACAATCTCCTTGTCCAACTCTGCCTCTTCTTCAAATCCTTAAAATCATGTACTGCTGATGGCCACAGTGCTTTCCATGCAGAATTGGGGATCTGATGAGAACTTCTAGCCATGAGGACACAATCAATTTACAGCCTCCAGGATGTTAAATTGTTTCTTCCAGAACTGTGCCAGTGTTAGTTCAGGATCATTGGAGTTGCCTGATGACACCTCCTAAACATTTTCTTCATGTACAACTTCTTGAAGTTGCTGATCACATTCTGGTCCTTGGCTGCATGATTGATGTAGTGTTGGGAGCAAAAACAACACCGACAAAGTCAAATTGAGCCTCCAAAGTGCTGGCAAGTTCAGGGTCATGACCAGGGCATTATCCATGAGGGAATAGCCTAAGGAAGTTTATCGGTGGTTAGGTAGCTCTTGACAGAAGGGCAAAACACCTCAACAGCCCATTCATTAAAGAGCTGTCTTCGGTTGGACTTCCAATAAACTCCAAGCTTTCCTCTTACCATTTTTGTTGCTTGAACACCCTGGGGTTCTCAGAGTGAGTAGACAAGCATAGGCTTCAGTCGAAATCCTGAAGCATTGGCACCAAGCAATAGAGGTGAGACGGTCCTTCATGGGTTTATGCCCAGGTAAAGAGGCTTCGTCTCTTGTGATGAATGTCCTTTTGGGCATTTTCTTCCAGGCCCCAGTTTGTCCACATTGAACACTTGCTGTGGAAGATAATTTTCTTAGTCCATCAGTTTCTTAAAGTCCACTACAAACTTTGCTGCTGCTCTTTATTTGCACTTGCAGCCTCACCATGCCTAATACACTGAAAAGTCACTTCTTTTCTTAAATTTTTCAAACCAGCTCTTGCTGGCCCTAAACTCTTCAAACTCTGTGCCAGAAGAACCAGGTTGATCTTCCTTCAAATGTTCAGTAAACTGGCTCTTTCACAAATAAATTCTGTAGAAACTGAATCACCTTTCATCTTTTCCCTGATCCAATAAGAAGTAACCTCTCTGTTTCTGCTATCAATGATCTACATTTAAACAGTCTGGTAGGTGTGTCTCTTACTTTCACTTCTTTGAACTTGTCTTTCTGTTCAAGAATTGTCGCACAGTTGATGCCGACATGCCATAGTCTTTACTAAGCACATTTGTTCTAATGCCCTGTTCAT